GATTCGTTTGAGGAATGGGCATCATCAATTTATCTCTAATGTTTTTTATGTGCTTAATATGAAGAACAATATTTTGAGTTTGGGACAACTCTTAGAAAAAGGTTACAATATTTCCATGAAGGATTGTAGTCTTTCGATAAGAGACCCATTGGGTAATTTGATTGCCAAGGTTCCAATGACAAAGAACCGGATGTTTTTGCTAAATATTCAAGCCGACGAGGCTAAATGTTTGAAGGCTTGTGTTAATGATTTAACTTGGCTTTGGCACTTGAGACTTGGGCACTTGAATTTTGAAGGATTAGAGTTGTTGGGCAAAAAGAAGATGGTGAAGGGATTGCCTTTCATTAGCAATCCAAATCAATTATGTAAAGGATGTCTCATTGGAAAGCAATCAAGGAAAAGTTTTCCTCAAGAAGCTACCACAAGAGCTACAACGCCACTACAACTTATCCATTCGGATGTTTGTGGTCCAATTTCTCCATCATCATTTGGTAAGAATAATTATTTTTTATTATTCATTGATGATTTTAGCCAAAAAATATGGGTGTATTTTCTTAAACAAAAATCGGAGGTGTATTTTCTGATACCACTATTTCCAATAAAGTGGTATCAAAGCAAAAGCCAACAAAGTGGTATTAGAGCTAGGTTTCAACATATCAGAGCCAGATTTCATATTCAGAGCCTAGACGATCCTGAAGGCCTGACGAAGTTGATCCTAAAAGGTTCAACATTTGAGAAAAACATGTTTCTCCTTGATGATGATGAAGGGGAGAAAATGTATTTTCTTAGTGAGAAGATGATGTTCTCTAATTACAGGAGAATGAGAATCATCATGACTTCATACCTCAAAGCATGTGATTTATGGGATGTTGTTGGATTAGAGCCAAAGAATGGCATGTCTAACAAGTTTTGAGAAAAGAAAGAAGAAAAGGCATTGGTAGTGTTGCTGAAAGCAATACATCAAGAAATTTGGGGGTATTTTGGAGAGTACAAAACTCCAAGTTGTGTTTGGAAGATGATCGAGACCATCATTTCCAATCATAGAAGTGAATCACAACCCATGGAGTATTGGGTACAATGCACTAAGGATGATGAGTTTACGAAGGCTGATTATGAAAGTCTTAAGGAGAAATATGTGGAGAATGAAAAGGCGTACAACACAAATGAAGTTGAAGAAATTGAAGATTCAAAAGTTGAAGGCCAAAGTGAAATAGAGAATAAGGAAGAGATAAAGAAAGGTGTTAAAGAAGAGATTGAAAAAGTGGATGAGATTGAAGTGAAAAGAGAAATTAAAGAAGAAGAAAGTGCTAAAGAAGGGGCAAAAGTTGATGAAATTGGTGAGTTAACAGTTACAGGTATGGTTCCAAATTCCAATTTCAAATAAGTTAGATATAACTTATTTGATAAAATTTTGATTTTTTCATATTCATCTCAATTGGAAAGCAAAATCAAATATTATGATAATTGTGTTCATATTGTGGAGAATAATGAACTTTTCTTGGAGAAAGCTATTCCAACGAAGTATGAGATTGAAGCTCAAGATGATAATAATTTGTCAAATTATTTTTTTGAAAAATGGTTTGGAGAGTTTTGTAATTGACACAGGTTGGGTGAATATGGAGTTATTTTTTGACTCTAAAGAAGAAGCATATGTGAAGTTGAAGAGTCATAAAAGATTCAAGAAGAAAAAAGATAGATGGTGCGTTTATATAAAGAGGATGATATATGATTATGTGAAGACATCAAACAAGCATTTGAAGATTTTTCACAAGCCATATACATCAATGGAAATGGCCAAGAAGATTGTTGCAATTGAAGGAGGTGGAAATCAAGATAAAGTAACAAACTTTTGATCAAGCCCCCAAGATCAATAAGAAGTTTACTTTCAAGTTACAAAATCAAGTTTAAAGGGGGGTGTTGAAAATAAAATTGATTTTAGAATTTTAGTTGTAATTAGTATTTTCAAGTATTTGGTATACATGATGCATGTGTGCATTTCATGTTAGTGGGGTAGTAAATGGTCTTGATGGAAAAGGTTATGTAAGATTAAGAGGTATGGGAATTAAATCTCCTAAATACTATGTTAGTGGGAGTTTTGCCTACTAAATGATATGTTAGTGGGGTTTTAATTTTCATTTACATTTATGTTTTGAAGCCTATGTAAACCCATGCATTGTACTCATTTTCTATCAAGTGAAATAAAAAGTGTTTTCCTCCATTTCTATTCTCTTCCAAATAGTGTAGTGTTGTGTGTGTAACTAGGCCACTATTTCCAACAGTATCATCATAATTCATGAGTAGTTCAAGCTTTCATTTTCTGTGTATTTGCACATTTTGAAGTTTGGAAAATTCACCAAAAGTAGACAATAGCGAGAAGATTCGAAGCACTTGCACATTTTGGTCCACACGTTTTCTCTCCATTCAACTTGACACCTTTTGTGAAGAACCCCACAAAAGATATTGGAAATCTTTCATACCTACACCTTTTTCACACACTGTTTTGCTAAAAAGATATTTTCTTTGATCAATAAAGTTCATAAAAATTTACCATCAACTTCCACATACATGGACCCGAAAATAGATTGAAGTTTCATAGAAAATTCCCTGCAACTTCTTATCATGTGCATTAATTCTCTCTCTAAATAGTCACAGAAATTTTGCATTCACCAATTAACAAGCCTCGATGGATGCATTTCCTCCTTCGTTTTCTTCTTCTTCTTTGCCTCAATGGAATTATGATGTCTTCTTGAGTTTTAGAGGTGAAGATACCCGCAAGAACTTTGTAGACCATCTCTATATGGCTCTGCAACATAAAGGAATTCACACCTTCAAAGATGATGAGAAACTGAAGAGAGGAAAATCGATTTCTTCAGGACTCCTCAAGGCTATTAAGGAATCGAAATTTGCAATCATCATTTTTTTGAAAAACTATGCATCCTTGTCATGGTGTTTGGATGAACTCTTACATATCATTGAATGTAGGAATACCGTGGGACAGACGATTTTGCCAATTTTCTACAACGTGGATGCCTCACAAGTACGGAAACAAAAGGGAAGCTTTGGAGAAGCATTTGCCAAACATGAGGAAAATTTTGGAGAGGAGGACAAGGAAAAGGTGCAAAAGTGGAGGGCAGCTTTGGTAGAGGCAGCAGATTTAAGTGGGTGGGATTTAAACGATGTAGCAAGTGGGTAATAACTGACTCAACAAATTTTATTCTTCTTCTATATTGCCGTATGAAATACGTGCACAAGTTTAACCAAACGACTTTGCAATACATACTTAATTACTAGTAGAAACAAACATGAAGCACAATTTATATTTTCAATTAGCATTCTTTTTTTATTGAGAATTTGTTTTGTTTTTTTTTTTTATTGAGAAAAATTGCACAATATCTTATACTAAATTTTAATTGTTATTATTAGTTTATATCTTAGTAAATATATATATATATATATATATATATATATATATATATAGATGCATTGTTGAACCATCACAAGAAATAAACACAAGCAGTCTTACTACTAGAACCACTTGTGCATTTCCATGGCGTGAATTATCAACATTTTTAAGATGCATTAGTCTATTTCAATCAATTTAGTTTACGAATTGAGTAATTTATGATTATTATTATAATTTACCCATAAATAAAATATAAAATTTTTTATGACTCACTAGTTCTTCTTAATGTGTTTTGTACTTCATAGGCATGAGGCGAAATTTATCCAAAAAATTGTTCAGGAGATTATAAAAAAATTGGAACATATACCATTATATGTTGCCAAGTATGAAGTGGGGATAGATTCTCGTGTCAACGAAGTGATCGCTTTGCTAAATAATGGGTCAAAGGATGTGTGCACTGTAGGAATTTATGGAACTGGGGGAATAGGAAAGACAACCATAGCCAAAGTTGTCTTCAATCGAATATTTCATCAATTTGAAAGTTGTTGTTTCCTTAATGATGTGAAAGGAATTTCAGAACAACAGAATGGTCTAACTAATCTGCAACACCAACTCTTGAAAGACATCCTAATGGAAGAAGATCTAAAGATTTCTAATGTTGACTACGGGATCAACGTGATAAAGAAAAGATTTTGTTACAAGAAGGTCCTGGTAGTTTTTGACAATGTGGATAGTTTGAAGCAATTGGAAAGTTCAACTGGAGCAAATGATTGGTTTGGTTTTGGAAGTAGGATCATTGTAACTACCAGAAATGAACATTTATTGGTAGAGCATAAAGTAGATGAAATATACAATGTTGAGTTGTTGAATGATGATGAAGCTCTTCAACTTTTTAGTTGGTATGCTTTCACTAACAACCATCCTTTGGAGGATTATTTGGATCTCTCACGAAGTGTGATAAATTATGCCCAAGGCCTTCCATTAGCTCTTCAAGTTTTGGGTTCTTTTTTATTTAAAAGAAGTTTAAAAGAGTGGGAACATGAATGGGATAATTTGAAAAGAATTCCTAATAAACAAATTCATGACGTTCTTAAGATAAGTTTTGATGGCCTTGATGACACAGAGAAGGATTTATTCCTTGACATTGCTTGTTTCTTCAAAGGGTATGATGAAGATTGTGTAATAAATATATTGGGCAGCAATGGGTTTCACCCACGAATTGCAATTCTTATTGAACGGGGTCACTGATAACTATCTCATCATACAACGAGCTGTGCATGCATGATTTGTTACAAGAAATGGGTAAGGAAATTGTTCGTCAAGAATCACCTGATGATCCTGGCAAACGAAGTAGGTTGTGGTTTTATGAAGATATCTATAAAGTGTTCAAAGAGAATACGGTACGTTCTAACTCCATATAAGTTTAATTTTGATATTCAAGTTGTGCAAAAAAAAAAAAAAAAAAAAAAAAAAAAAAAAGGGATTGCTGCATCTTTTTTTCCATCTAAACAGTTGTAAACTTGGATAATTTTAAGGTTTTAACAGTAACTTACATAAAGTTTTTGATAATTAGGTGACAGAAACTGTTAAAGGCATTATGTTAAACGTGCCTGATGAACATGTACGAGAGGAGTTACATGTAGATGTCAATGTCTTTGAGAAGATGAAGAAACTTAAGCTACTCAAACTCAGTGGCATACGACCTTGTGAACAATTTACATATCTTTCAAATGAATTATGTTATCTCGATTGGGATGATTATCCTACAAAGTTTTTGCCATCCAATTTCCATCCAAAAAATCTTGTGGAACTTCGCCTTTGTCACAACCAAATCAAAGAAATATCATCAAGTATCAAGGTATGATCAGAGTTTATATATACAATTATTTACATATGAATAGTATTGTCGAATTTTATTGAAACTGATTGATTTCTTTCATTACTTGTTTCCTTTCCAGTTTTTACAGAAGTTAAAATACCTTGATTTCGGTGACTCCTTATATTTGTATAAAATTCCTGACTTGTCTAGTCTCTCATATCTCGAGGAATTAAATCTTGAAGGATGTAAAAATCTAATTGAGGTCCACGAGTCGATTGGAGTTCACGAGAGGCTTGTTTGTTTGGAAATGGGGGACTGTAAAAATCTGAGGAGTCTCGCAAAAAGCATCAAGTTGGAAAAGTTGAAATATTTGAATCTAAGTGGATGCTTAAAACTTGAGAAGTTTCCAGAAATTCAGGGGTGTATGGATCGTTTGTGGGAACTTTATTTGACAAAAACTGCAACAAAAGATTTGCCTTCATCAATTGAGCTTCTTGAAGGGCTTCAGGATTTATTGGTAGGTGATTGCCGAAAGCTTAAAAGGGTTCCAAGTAACATTTTTTCTAGAATGAAGGATTTAAAATCCCTTGCCATTGGAGGAACCGCTATAGAACAGTTACCATCGTCCATTGTACAATTGTGTAACCTTAGTGTCCTTAATTTAAGTGATTTAGAAAAAGTTTCTCCCAAAATGCCAAATTCATTGGTTCCATTTTCATTGGTGCGAAAGAGAACTCCTCCTAATTATTTGCAACTGGAATTGCTTTCCGCTTTGAGCACTTTCATTATTTTTATTTAAATTTAAGTGGAAGCAATTTGTCTAGCATACCAACAAGCCTCATTCAACTCAAATGTCTGAAAAGCCTTGATTTGGAACATTGCACAAGCCTCCGAACGTTGACTTCACTTCCGTCATCTATTAAAAAAGTGAATGCTCATGGCTGCAAATCATTGGAACGGTATTGGATTCCACCAAGTGCAATTGGTCTAAACAATCGCGAATTGAGATTCAGTGAGTGCCACAAATTGGTTATGGATGAGATGGGGAACATGCCAAATATATCATCACAAAGTCAGCTTCAGGTTAATTACTTTACCTCTCTCCCTCTCTTTCTCTCTCTCTCTTTTTCTTTCTCTCTCTCTATACATATATATGTATGCATTCAAAACTTGTTATGTTCGTGCATGGAACAGGGGGTTGAATGGATCATTTTTCGGGGAAGTGAGATTCGGCAATGGTTTAGGCATAAGAGTGAAGTTGAGGGGTCTTCTTTGTATCTGGTGGTAGATCATTTATCGTCTTACAATAATGTTAAAGGAATTGCCATCTGTGCTGTTTCGGATTTTCATGGAATGGAGGAGTATTTTGGATTTGATCTCAAAATCAATGGTTATGGCGTGAAGACACGTCTTAGGTATGAGGGGTATAAAGGCAGTCACGTTTTTTGATAAACGTAACCAATGGCGAAGAAGATCAACCAATTAAAAATTGGATGAAGAAGATTCCAAAGCTCAGCTCAGGCCCTCCCAATATTTGTGAAGATCAACCAATTAAAAATTACATTCAGGCTTCAGCTGTAACAATTGTCTACGAACATTCAGTCGGTCAAATAATGATGGAAGAAAGGAAGGTGAAGAAAATGGGTATCCATCTAATTATGGAGGAGCAAGGTGAAGGTGAAGGTGAGTAGACCCACCCAATAATCATCATATCATACTTTCATCACTCTCTTCAAACTCAATTTCTCAATTCATAAAATCATACCAACACTTTCAAATATCATATTTTTCATATATACAGCAATTACTGTATTTGATTGTTGCAATTTTGTAGGTTAACACACAGAAATCCTAGAAGTCAGTTGCATGTTTGTGGAGCAGCATTAAGAGGCAATAGAATTGATCATTTGGATACTTTTGATTGTCAATTTTCTGTACGTTTGTTTTGATTGTCAATTTTGTATACAAGAAGCTGTGTCTGTTGTAATAACAATTTCAATTGTGATGGAAAATGTTTTGTTAGTAGGTACCATAATCTTTTTGGTCATATATGGATTATAATTTCACATCGAGTCCTGAAAATTTTTATTTATGGTTAAGAATAGCCATTAAGTTACGGTTTCGGAAGGGAGTACACAAAATAAATGATATATACCTTCCATATAGGACGTTCTATCACAAGCACTATACCTCGTTTGATATATGATAAAAGTCCCCATGGCCAACACATTAGAATAGATTGGTTGATTGATTTGATTAAATTATTTGACCGACTTTGCTCTAAGTTAGAAGTTTGAAACTCTATAAGTTTGAAATGAGCTTAATTATCCGAACTTCAAAGTTAATCAAAGCCTTGTGAGATGTTTAATTAAGTTTATGGATTATTACTAGGAGTTTAGCTAAAGGACATGAAGTGCATTATGTCCTTAGTCTACTAAGTCTAAAAATTAAGCCTTCAAACATGTTACTATTCAACAATGACTACTGCACAATAAATTCTGGCTCTCACCAAACGACTACTCTACTTTTGATCTTCAATATCTAAGCATCAAAAATTAAATAAATAAATAAATAATTGAAGGCAATATTAGATTCTAAGACGTGCTCCAACACCAACTCACTTAACCACCTAAACCAAGACGGGATTCATTACCACAAAAGTCTACAAGTATATGTGCAACATGTCATGAGTGCGTGCATGTGCGTGTGTGTGTGTGTGTGAGAGAGAGAGACAGAGAGAGACAGAGAGAGGTTTTTACAAATGTAGATGGAAAAAACCTGCTTTCTCAATGTTGCTAACAGAAACAGATTGTAATCACAAAAAGAACTATAATATGATTGAAACGTTTCAGACTGGGGGAGCTTGATTAGTATTGATAATGAATTCCCGCGCATGAACTATAATATTGACTTGATTTTAATAATTTGAATATTCACTGTGCCTTTTTTCTGTCAAAGAGTAAACTCAATGAATAAGTGTTGCCCTTCTGTGCAGCAACTTCAATTCGTTTTTCACCAACCTACAGCCATTTACATTAAAAGGGAGAAATAAAAACGGAGAGTAGAATATTAGACATAATACCACTTGTAGTATATATATTAAAAAAAAAAAGATTAAAAATACTAAAAAGCACAACATTTCTAGAAAACAAAATGCATTCATAAAATAGAATGCTTGCTGCAGCACAATAGCAATGTCCAAGAAGAAAATTTAGAATTATAGCTCATACCAAAAGATATGAACAGAAAAGTAAAAACCCTCAGACGTTAACATGGCAGAAAAGTGGGGGATGGTTATGCGTATAACAGGCAGATGTGTGTTTTTCTGTATGCATACTTATTACAAAGTGTGGATCCAATTTGCAAAACATTACAACAGTGGCAACACTCTATCCCAAAGTTCAGAAATTCCGTTTTCCTTTAACTCCTATAAACGCCCAGACTAAACCTAAAAGTTCATCTTTTACAACATTAATACGCTCCCTCTGATCCATTTTAAGTGCCTCTTTACCCATTCAGGATAACCAAATTTCCAGAAATTTTGCAAATAAAACTGTATTCCAAGAAATCACATTATCCTAGCATAGACCCCAACTTGGTTTGTTAGCTCACTAACCACATAAATGTATGAAGGACGTGATGAGAAGTTAAAATGCGGTTACTCAACTTATTGTGCATAAAATGTGTGCATGCCGAAAAAACCTTCGCAAATATTTCCAAGCTTAAATTCAAGTTTAATTGAAACGATTTGAGCTGACAGTTCATGAGGTTCAAATGTTAGGTGCCGTTTGACAACTCAATCCAATACTTAGTTTTGCAAAAATCAAGTGATTGTCTAATTGTGTGTTTGATTACTAAATTTGGATATCACATAAAATAGTAAGTTCCCCTTAAAATGAATTAAAACATTAAGTAAGAAGACCACTAAAACACTGAACACTTCAAATTATTAAAATAAGTATAAAAGTTCTCAATTTACAATTAGCACACAAAATTCAGCTCTTAGAAATTTCAGTACTTAACTAATTCTCAAATTTCAAATTTATCAAACACCACCTAGTCATGTCTTGAACTTCAAATTAATATCTTTTTTTTTTTCCTAAATGGTGGAAATTGTATTGATCAACAAAATATTACAATAAGATACATAGAAAAAAGTGAAGGCATGCCTTCACTGGGACCAAAAAGAACTTCAAATTAATATCTCATTAAGCTTAAAAATTTCTATATCAGACCTTATTGTTTCTAGTAAGAAGGCCTCCAGTTAATGGATGCACTGTTAATCTTATCTAAGATCAGACTAAGATTGAGATATTGGCCATATTCTTCAGCAGGAAACATTAGAATAGACTGGTTGATTGATTTGATTAAATTAATTTATTGACTTTGCTCAAAGCTGAAATTTGAAATACTTTTAAGTTTGAAATGAGATTTTACTACTTCAAAATTCATCAAAGCCTTGTACGATGATTTAATTAAGTTTATGACCGAACAGAAAAAACTAATTTCTTAATGTTGCTAATGGAAACATATTGTAATCACAAAAAGAATGATCGAAGCTTTTCAGACTGGGGTAGCTAGAATATTATTGATGATGAATTCTCGCGCATGAACTAATGACTTGATTTTAATCATTAGAATATTCATTGTGCTCTTTTTTTCTGTTTTTTTCTGCCAAAAAGTAAACTCAATGAATAAGTTAGAATTATAGGTCATAACGAAAATACACGAAAGATAAGGACAGAAAAGTAAAAACCCTCAGCTGTTTGTGCGTATACAGGCAAATGCATGTGTTTATGCACATACTCATTACAAATGGTGGATCCATTTTACAATTCATTACAGTAGTTGCAAGACTTGATCCCAAAGTTCAGATATTCCCTTCCTATTTAACTTCTATAAAGAGGCCCAGAGTGTTCATCTTTTACAATATTCAGATCTTGTGTGTGTAGACGGACGCAGGGGCATGGCTAGAATTTTAGTTAAGGGGCACAGTGTTTAGAAGAAAAAAAATATTTAAAGGAGTAGAAGGGAAAAAAAATAAGAAGAAAAAAAAAAGAAAAAAAAAGTAAGAAAAACGACAACTTAAAAAGGAAAATAAATTGTAATTTCCAAATCATATATATATATATATATATATTTTAGTAAAGAAATTTAGGTGACTTAGTGTCTCGTATAAGTTCAGAATATTGTTATCAACAACAAAATTTGATGCATGAATTAATTTTACTCAAATTTATTTGTATTTTTAGTATTTAAAATTATAAGGACAATTTTGAAAAGTAGAATCATTTTGTTTTTTCTTCCATTCTATCCAAACTAACAACGTAACATTTTCTCACACCTTTCTTGAAAAAATTTCATACTAACCAAATACATCATGAAAACTTAGTTTTCTTCTCCTTTACTTCACTTTCTTTCACTTTCACTTTCACTTTCCACCATCTATTTCCATCTAACCAAACAGACCCTTAAAGAATTTGAAGAGTAAATTATGAAAAAAAAAACTATAAAATAAGAGATAATTTTAGAGGAGGCATTATATAAAAAATTCCATATTTGTCAGCTGGGTTTTACATATTCATTGCAACACAAAGATTGGGAGCTCTGGCGAGAGAGGGATTTGATCTATTCTAATTCGGAGTTTCTGAATTTAAAATAAAAAAATAATTTATAAAGAAAATAATTTATGATAAAATTACGTTCATCTGATCCTGCTTAAATTTCGCAATAGACATGAAATTTGACTTTTGTCTAGAGGCCCCTACCCAAAATTCAGATTGAGCAATGCTTGGGTCCTGTCCTATCAGGACAAAAATTGTCTTACAATTGACGTGGACCACTAAAACACCAACATCTTTCCCAAATTAAAAATATTATTAAAAAAGTCTAGAGGTGGACCCAACCCGTTTTAATCCGGGTGAATCCGGTCTGAATAGCCGCTGCCACCGCTACCCACGCTCTCTCCACTCGTTTCTCTTTCAAGGTTTATACAACTTAAAACTTGTAGGGGTTCGTTTTCGTAACACAATAAAATACATATAAATGGTGATATCTTACACAACTATGAGGGATTTAGACAACATAATAGAATCTGAGGTGGACTGAGAGAGGTGGAAGCACATGCAAACTCGAGAGAAAGAGAGTGAAGATGGCAGTGTAGTAGCACACCATTAACTCCCTTGATGAAGGTGTATAGAGGAAACATGAGAGGTTATTTAATCCTCACCCTTTTTGTTCTACCTCTTGCTTAGCCTTGGATCACCTCCTTATATAGGCCAAGTGAGAGGTTGGGTGATGTCATATGACATCACATGTGGGGCCCATTAACATTATAAAAAAAAGTTAATTGAGATGGGTCCAAAATGTATGGGAGTCAAAATGGTATCTCTCTCTATGAGTCAGGTCGAGTGTCAATTCGACGAGCTTGAATTTCATCCACCAAACCAAGAACCTCTTCGGATCCCAAGTAATCTTGAGTCTTGATCCCAACTTAGGTCTTCAAGTCTTTGATCTTCTGTTTAAGGTATACTGACGTGGTAAGTGTCATGCAATTTAGACCGTTTGACTTGTGGGCCATCGTTTCTGATATGGCGTCGCTTGTTGACCATTTGACCAATCTTTGTGGACCATTGTTGATGATGTGGCATAGTCTGTTGACCATTTGTCAAGTAATGTGGTCCATCTGAAGTGAGATATATTCAACACCTACAAAACTCAAAAACAAAAGAAAAGCTCATAAATTTGGATTTAAGATTCATGATTTGTTCTGCTGGCTCACAGTGATCTGTATCTATAAATTTTATGCATTCTTGTTGTGAAAAGAAACACGATTGGTA